AATTGCAACTGAAACTGTCTGACCCACAAATCCTAAAATATTTACTATCTGGCTCTTCACAGAAAATGCCTGCCAGCGCCTGGGCCACACATATTGATTGGCTCATTCTCCCCAGCTGGAAACCGTGGTGATGGGATCAGCTGTGGGGTAGAAACGGCTTCACTAAACGCACTGGGGGAGGCTGGCTGGTCCCACCCCAGGAGGCCATGGGGCGGCAACTCTCCCCACATCAGACGCAGGAAGCGACGCCAGCCCTGCCCGCGGTTTAGGAGCGTGGAGCACCTGCAGCAGAGCACGTGGTCTCACTCCCAGCACCCGCCGGCGGTGAGCAGTAGAGTCTCGCACAGGACAGTGAAGAACCCGCCTGCGGTGAGCAGAGTTCCAGGCACAGGCTTCTAGCGCCACCCAGCGAGTGACCCACGGGCCACGCTCCAGGCCTCAGGGTGGATGGGCCCCAGGAAGGTTGGCCGGTTGGTAACTGACTTTCCAAGATTCTCCCAACTCTCAAGAGAGTCAGTAGAAAACCCTGGAGTGAACTATATTCAGAAGCACAGGTTTTCCAATACAATGTCATTTCAAAGTCAAAGAATCAAGAATGTGATTTGTCCAGAAGACTAGCAGAAAAGCCTCCATCTTCCTTCTCTCCTGCGACAGTGGTGCTGCATCTGGAATGTACCTCCCTGCCCTCCATGCCCAGGGATGACATGGCGGATGTCAGCTCCCGGGCCGGCTTCCTGCCATCAGGGGCCGGTGAGTACCCAGAGGACGTGAAAGCATCGCTCCCACCAGCAAACAGCTGTGTCGAGCACAGGCAACACGGCGTTTGCCTCGGGCAATCCCTCCATATCTCTAAGCCTCCGGGTTTTTACGTCTGCAGAATAAATGGCTTTGATGCAGGACCTCCGTGGCTCCTTTCAACATGATTATCCTCGCTCTGTAATTATATCTGTGTTGCTCACTGCCTTACTCATAACACAGAAATGGCATGCATCAACAAGTCCTTACTTCACTTCCTGATATCCTTCTCCACCTACTCTCTCATCACAAAATCCGTGTGACAAATTAGGCAAGATTCCAGAATCAAATGTGTGGCTCCTGAAGCCAGGCTCAGCGGAAACTGTCTGCCTGGATGTGGTGGGCAGACAAAAGGAAGTCTTCTAATACCGTGCCTTCCACCATGAAAAAGACTTTCCTTCTGGAGGCTCAATTCTCAGGTCTGGGTTCAGAACCTCAGCAGGGGCCTTGGGAAATGCTGGGAAGGCCGATACCAGCAGCTCTTGGAGGAGCCACTCACCAGTGATTGCAAAAACAAAGTGTGTGTGTGTAGGCACATTCTCTGTCCAAAATGTATGGTCAGCAAACAACATGCAGGTTTGGTGACCCCATTCTGCTCTCACAAATAAAAAGGAAAGAAGTGAGTGAGGGGAGGGGAGGTAGAAACAGTGAACTTGGGGGGTCTGGATCTCATGAACACGAAGTTGTGGGGACACTCCTTGAATCTGGGGCGTTTGCCCAATTCACTGGACCCAGATGAACCCGACAGATGTGACCGGAGCACTGGGCTCCAGGTGGCCCTACAGCTGGGAGGGGACAAGAGCCTCCCTGAATGCAAGCCTTTCTACCCAGACCAAGTCTTCGGCTACAGGTCGCCAACGCGGCCTGCACTGCTGTCCTCCTAACCTTCAAGATAAAACGACTTCTTCTGATGGAATCCAACTCAGTTGGATTCATGACCCAAGATGGGCATCAGGGGAGCTGCTCTCAAGAATGAATGCAGCTCTGGCCGGTTTTGCTCAGTGGCTAGAGCGTCGGCCTATGGACTGAAGAGTCCCAGGTTCAATTCCGGTCAAGGGCATATGCCTGGGTTGCGGGCTTGGTCACCAGGGGGAGGTGTGCAGGAGGCAGCCAATCAATGATTCTCTCTCATCATTGATGTTTCTATCTCTCTCTCCCTCTCCCTTTCTCTCTGAAATAAATAAAAATATATTAAAAAGAAAAAGAACGAATACAAAATTTTGCACATATGTAAGTATGTACATTTTTTTCTGGCAAGAAGGCTCATCGCTTTCATTTTTCAAAGAGGGCCATAGATAGAGAATGTGATTTTTAAAAATCCAATATATCACCCTTTTTAATTATGCCTCTACTTAATTATCCAACAGGTATCTAGGGAATTTAAATTTCAAATATCCCCCCCCCCCAAATTAAGAAAGGTCAAGAGTTGACTGAAGTTTGAGAATGCGGCATGCCTGCTAATGCTTTCACTCTCTCCCAAAAACTCAGAAAGACAGAAGAGATTACGTTAGGACTGATTACAGCTGACCTGAGGTAGATCCCTTCGCATGATCGCAGCTGAAATCAGTGCAGCCGCTGTCAGTAACGGAAGAGGCGATGGAGATCCCGACAGAATACGAGACCAGCAGTCTAGTCCTCGCTCCCCGCCTTAACCTGTGACCTTGGGAGCCCCCCTCCTTCTGTGCTCGGGCCTATCAAATGCAGGCCACCGAAGCAGAACGGTGGTTCGCAAACTCTTTGAAGGCAATGAACATTATGTGTATCTAAAACCACCCAGAATTCATCCGAAGCTGAAACAAATTCAAAATGGCAGGCTGAACATACGCAGGTATATCCACTTCTGGAAACCCCGTAAGCTATTATCCTTCAATATCTATACTTACTGAGCATTTACCACATGGGTTTTTGTTTTTTTTTTTAATGTTTAAACTGAGATTTCAACCCTGGACATATCAGTCTTTTCTTTTCTTTTTTAAATATGTTTTTATTGATTTCAAAGAGGAAGGGAGAAAGAGAGAGAGACAGGGACATCAATGATGAGAGAGAATCATTGATCAGCTGCCTCCTGCAGGCCCCCCACTGGGGATCGAGCCCGAATCCGGGCGTGCGCCTTTGACCGGAATCCTATCAGGGACCCTTCAGTCCGCAGGCCAACGCAGGTCACATGATTGTTTTAAGCGTATTATTAACTAATGGAAACCTTAACACTTTATAACAATAATTTTATTGATTGATTTTAGAGAGAGACAGGAAGGGAGAGGAAGAGAGGGAGAGAGAAACATCGATTTTTTGTTCTACTCATTGATGCACTTATTGGCTGATTCTTGTATGTGTCCTGACCGGGGACTGAACCCGCAGCCTTTGGTGTATTGGGACGACGCTCGAACGAACTGAGCTCCCGGCCATGGCAAAACCTGACACTTTTACCAGGAGGTGCTGGTGCCCACATCACAGACGAAGGAACTGAGTCACCAGCGTGGAAGGCACGTGCCCAGGTCCCCACGGCCAGTGAGTGGCCGAGCCAGGGTGCAGGCCCAGGCAGTCAGGCCAAGTCTGTGCCGTGCACACCCCCCCTCAGACCCACAACCAAGGAACAGCCAAGCTCCCAGAGACAGAGATCAGCTAAAATGTCACCCTATTTGGGAGATGGAAAGCGGACCCATGAGGAGTAATGACTTGGGTGGAGTCTACGAGTGCTGTCCCCCTCGCAGACCCCGCCCCACACTCCACTGCTGGAGACACAGGTCTCCTCCCCCGGGGTGAGCATTACCGAAGCCTGAAGACGGGCAGGCGGGGATGAGCCCGCAACCGGGGCACATGCCCGAGACCGGAATTGAACCGGGACCCTCTGGTCCCCAGGCCGACGCTCCATCCACTGGGCCACACGGCCAGGGCCGTTCTCGGCCTTTCGTGTCTCGGTGGGCTGGCCCCGGGCAGACCAGACATTTGTTCTGTAACATTTACAGCGATGAGAAGCGCAGGCCAGGCATCGGGCAAATACCAGACGCGCTCCCGTAATCCTCAGGCCAAGGCTGAGAACGAGGATCATGTTTTCTGCTGGAAAACTGGTGCTTAGAAAACGGAACCTGCCACGGGGATGGTCGCCACGGTCCCTCCCGCACCCGGGGCCACTCTCAGCCTTTCCGCTCTGCTGTCTGCAGAGACCTGCCTCCAACAGGAAGAAGGAGAAGTTCCCTGAAGCCGTAAAAATAAGAGCAGAGAAGGAGCTCCGCGTGGCTTGTCCACAGGAGCCGAGGCTGCCCGGCCAGACCCGGCAGGAACCGGACGCGGCTGCACCTGCCCGTCGGGGGCTCCGCGCAGCCGCTCGGCCGGAGGGAGGGCAGCCCGCGGGCCGCTAGCGTGAAACGCCGCGAAGCCGGGGCGGGGGGGGGGGGGGGGGGACTAGTCCCTGGAGAGGACCCCCGCTGCAGGCGGCCACCGGCCTCCCCCCCCCACCTTCGCAGTGATGGGGGGACCTCGCAGTGCGGGCCGAGAGCTGGCTGTCTACCTCAGAAGGCCCCCAGCTCCGAACCCCACTTATTTTTTAAAATACAGTTTCATTGATTTCAGAGGGGACAGGAGAGAGGGAGAGCGACGGAAACATCCGTGATCGGCCGCCTCCCGCACGCTCCGCACTGGGGAGCGAGCCCACAACGCGGGCGGGAGCCCCGACCGGGAATCGAACCCGGGACCCTGCGGTCCGCCGGCCGACGCTCTAACCACTGCGCCACCGGCCAGGGCCAGACCCGCGGCTCCAAGTTCTCAGCAGACGAGGCGGCCAGGCGACGGCCACGGGCAAGCGATGCCCGCGAAGGCGCCCCCCGCGCCCCCACCACCCGGCGGACCTCGGGCGCAGAGGGGCGCCTGGAGGCGGGGCAGGTGCTTCCGCGGAGCCGGCAGAGTCGGGGGCCCCACCCTCCTCCAGGGGGGCTGCCGGCCCCTTTCCTCCGGTCCGCGACCGAAAGGGGAGGCGGGCCCCCCGATGCCCCCCACCCCGAGGGCCCGGGCGGCGCGCCTTTCCCTCCCGGGGCGGCGGGCCGTGCGGGTCAGTCTCCCGCTCGCCGCCTCCTCGGCCCCACACGGCCTCCCGCGGGCCCCGTTCCCCACCTCTCCGCCCGCCAGACCTCGCTTCCCCTATGGGCCCCGCCCCTCTGTCTTCCCCTCGGTCCCTGCTCCCTCAGCCCCGCGCCGCCGGCCTTCGGTACCTTGAGCGTCACGTCGCACAGCTTGCCCTGCCGGCGGATCTCCTCCATGACGCCGTAGCCGCGACTCGGCAACTCGGACACGGAGAAGTGCACCAGGTCCTCCAGCTCCTCCGCGCCGTCCTCCACCATCTTCACCCGCCGCCGCGACTGCGCAGGCCTGGCCGGCCGGCCGGCTCTCAGCTCCCCGGGGCGGGGCGGGGCGCGGGCGCGCGCCGACGTTGGCTCCGGCGCAGGCCTGGGAACAGACGGGCCTGCTCGGCCGCCGTAGTCGGAGCCGGTTCTGCGCCGGAAGCCCTGCTGCCCCGCTTCCTGGTTCGTGCGCAGCTTTCGATCCCTTGCTATCTCGACCCTTGTCTCGTACCTGCAGCTGCGGCATTCTTCCTAGAATTAGCGATCCCATCTCCTGTTTTCCTGATGCTTCCCTGACCTTACTCGTATCTCCACCGAGGACCGCGGACTTCATTTCCGCCACTACCTCAATACTTCCGGGACCTCCGGAAGCGGCCCGTTGCCATGGCGACCGTGTACACAACCAGGCAGCTGCGCGCGCGGGTTTTCCTTCGCAGCAGTTGCAGTGGTGGTGCTGCGGCAGGACTGCTGCCTCCGGAGCGGTAAGCAGGCCCCACGCGCCGCCGGGGTGGGGTGAAGGGAGGTCGGAGAGGAGGGGGTGTACGCCGGGGCGGCGGGCAGCGGCTGGGATCCGAACATCGCTCCACCCAGGAGTTCCCCAGCATCGCTCCCTGACCGGTGAAACCCGGGCGCAGCATCGCGGGGTGGCCCTTTCAGACTGGATGAGGCTTAGAGTCTTCAGATCTAACGTTCCCTGTCCCCACGAGGGTCCTACGTCGCGCCCGAGATTCCGAGGATGCGAGGCTGGGAGCCAGAGGTATTCCAGGCTCTTCTGCTCTTAACGGTTTTCAGGCTCGCCAGTCCGAGCCCTTTGCTTTACAGATGAGAAAACTGCTCCAGAGAAGGACAGGGATGGTCCTAAGGCCCACTGCTTCCCAGACTCCACATAGGGGTCCGACATGTTGGGCGAGGAAAGGAGAAAGGCCAGTTTCTGCGTGGATCCGAGTATTTTGTTTAGCCCAAGGCTGGGTGCGTTTGGACCCTGTTTTGGGCTGGTTCCGATGCTGCTGCCGCTCTGGCTATGAGGTTTCCCATGAGAGTGCCTGGCCTTGGCAGGAGCGCTGTGAGATAGGAACTCACCTGGTGCCGACCTTCCCCGCGTGTGCCCCCTCTCCTTTCATTGAGCCGTCAGGTGCTTGGTGGCAATTCTATTCCTTCCCCACCCCCAAAACAAACGAAGACACCCCGAGCCTCTACAGCAGGGGGCTTCCTGGTGGCCACTCAGAAATATCTAATGGTAGCAGCCCCCGTGAGGGAGCAGCATTCCCCACAAGGACCTAAGGGAGGCGGGCCCCACTAAAGGGAGGGCGTAGTGAAGGGGGCAGAGCATAGCTTCTTGAAAGTGGTGCTTGGAAAGTAAGTGTCCTCCTAGAGGGGCTGTGGGCTTCGGGGTGGGTGTGGGAGGGGAGAGACATTTCATGCCCCTGGGGACTCTCTCAGTAGTGACCGAGGATGGACCCACATGTGGAGATGCAGCGCCCCTCTGACTTCCAGCCATGACCGTCCCCACCAACCACCGTTTCTTGGGCACCTGCTCTGTGCTGGGTACTGCTGTGGACCTTGAGGGGGGATTCACATAAAAGGCACAGTCCTTTCCCCCAGCAGCTTGTCATGTCATTGGGGAGCCGAAACCCGCTCAGATGATGTGGCGTAAGAACAGTAACAAGCATCTCAGTAAGTGCGAGGTGCATGGGGTCCCCAAGGTCTGGGTGCCGAGGGGCTGCTGAGCAGCAGAGGTGCAGGAGGGTGCAGTGAGTAGAGAAGCAGAGAAGGCTTGCCTCTGGGGACGGGCATGGCTCCTGGCATACGTGGGGCCATGGGTGTGAGCACGGGGAGGGCCTTGGGCAGCACAGATAGGCGACTGCATGTGCATGTTGGCCAGTTGCATGGCAGAGAAGGGGCCGGCTCTGAGGGGAGGGTGATGCTTGGAGATGGCCTTGCGGACCTTGTGCGGTCCGTGGTGGGGGCTGCCAAGAGGGACCTGTGGGCACCGACCCCCAGAGGCGGCCCTAATAGGTACCTCTCAGGAGGAGGATGGGCCTCAGACTGGTCTGGGGAATGGTTCCCAGAGCTTTAGAGGTTGAGGGTGTTTGCTGGAGTCAAAACACACCTCCCTCTGCTCTCAACCTCCCAGTGATCTCCACCAAAGTGAACTTAGAGCTGAGGGGTTCTCTTCAGCTTGGAGCTGGTGTTAGAGCTACTTGTGGCTTTTCCTTTCTCAAGATCAGTTTTGCCGACAAGGATTTCAGGACTGAAATTGGACAAGCCGTGACCTCTGCTCACCTGAGGGCCTTTCACATTCGTTGTCTAACAATGAAAAGGTCTGAATGCTCCCCTGGCGGAAAAGACGTTCATGCCGCCATCACCTGAGGCATGTCGAGGTGGACGCACTCTACAACAGGCAAATACGAAAGTCACGCGTTTGCTGACTTGATCCGACCTCTGACAGGCTTGTAACTGGGGTTGGAGTTTTATGTCCACATCGTTGACACTAAACAGAAAGGGCAGGGCCTGTCTCTGTTTAACTTGCTTCTATAGGTACTTAATGCCACCTGAGAGTTAATATAATTAAGAGAGGAGATCAAGTGGTCACCACAAGTGGTGTCTAGAGGTGTGGAGGGACATCCATGTTTTTAAAACATCGAATCATTTTTAGCCAGTAACAGTCACTGAACCTCTCTTAGATGATACATGTAAAATGTTACCATTTATATTTAATGTGCTTTTAAAAAATGCAATAATGAACTTTAATTAAAAGCCGAAATCTGGCCCCAACAAGTGTGCCTCAGTGGTTAGAAGGCTTATGGGTTCAATTTCTGGTCAAGGGCACATACCTACCTGGGTTGCAGGTTTGGTCCTCGGCCCCCGTGGGGGCAAGTGCAGGAGGCGACCAATCGATGTCTCTCTCTCACATCAGTGTTTCTCTCTCTCTCTTTCTCCCCCCCCCTTTCTCCCTCCCTCCCTCTATTTCTCTCTCAAAAGCAATGGAAAAAATATCCTCAGTGAGGGTTAACAAGCAAAAAGAAGAAGAAATCTGTCCTGG